TTTTAGAGCTGGGTAGTATTCCATAGTGTATATATATCACATTTTCTTTATCCAGTCAGTTGATGGACATCTGGGTTGATTCCATATCTTAAGAACAATAGAATTTAATTTGGCGATGTAATTTAGGACAACTATTTATGTTGCTAACCTTTGTTCTTTTATTCTAAAATTATATTTTCTGTATTCCTAATGCTTATTGGTATCCTTGTGAGTTAGAATGGCCTAAGTAATTTTTTAGTAGTGGTTAATGAGTAATATATTTTCAGAGCTCTTGAATATATATCTTTCAGATTCCTTGACAAATGCAAGGCATTTGGCCAGCAGTAGCTTTCCTTGGTTGAGTCCTCCCTTTGTGCTGGCCTTTGTGATACAAAGGAGACAACTGGAGACCACCTGGACGTTTCCATGTGATTTCTGTGTTGACTTGCTTTTGTTTTCATGCCTGAATACTGAAGGCTTGTTTTTCCCCTTTAATTTTTACACTAGGACTCAAAATTTCTGTCAGACTGGATTTGAACTGATATTGTTGGGAATACACTTTAGTCCTCTTCTTTTTTTCACATATCTTTGATCATTCTTTCTATTTCACTTTGTGTTCCCTCAGAAATGACTGTAATTAGATTTGTTTTGTTCTGGTCCTGCAGACCGAGGATCTTTTTGTATCCTTTGGTTCTTTCTCTGGCTTGATGGGGGTTTATCCTCTAGACGAGTGATTTGATTTTACATGGGATATGTCCACAACCCCGTGCCCCAGTGTGGATAATAGTGCTGCACTTCATTTTTACGATCTATAATACTTCCTCATTTGACCTATAATCTCCTTTTATGGTACCTAGCAATGCTTTATTGATTTATAGCATTCTGCTTTTGTTTTTAGGGGTCATGTCTTGTGGTATTATGTTGTCAATGCCAAATACTTTAGTAAAAATTAACTTCTGATTCCTCTAGGGCATCATTTTCGAGACTGTTCTCCCTTTGACTCTTTAGCACACAATTATTTTCATGTAAGGTACTACTTAGTAAACCCTTGCTGACATTTAACTATTTTCATTTCTGAATTTTGAAATGTCTGTCTAGACCTGATCACGTAGGGGATACAGGAGTGCCCTGGGCCCCCTCCTGCTCTTCTGGTTTGCTAGTGGGAGTCCTTTAGAAGATCTCCGACCTCATAGCAGATGGATGTTTGTAGGCTCTGACCTGTTTCTGATAGGCCAGAAGAGTTTCATGTGGAGCAGCCATCTCCAGTGCCTTGTTCTCTGTTACTTTCTATATGGATTATGTAAGAACTCCAACCCCCAGTATGCAACACCTTCACAGATCATCTTGTTCCTAAATCTGCTTTTCTGCAGCTGAAGATGCCAGGGTGAAAAAATTCTTCCCCTGCTTTTCAGTTGCCTCTTAAAGTAGCAATCACAAGTGATGGGGTGGGGGATTTCTACTGCTACCTCAGAAAGCATCCTCGATTCATGACCGAAAGCCGTCTGGGGTTCTGACCTCTGCATTCGTGGACAAGATGGCAGAAAGTGGAGAAAGAGAAATATGCAGGAAAGATTTCCTTCCTTCCTTCAAGGCCTTCAGCTTGTCTCTAATCACATTTTAAGATATATTTTTATTTTTCTGTTGTAAAAATTATTTCCTGATTCTAGCAATAAATTGGAGATCATACCTTCCCTTTTGTGGTCAGATGCACCTTTATTCATCCATCTCTCTGTCTCTCTCTGTTTTTCTCTCTCTCTCCAGATATGTTAGTCGAATTCGGGAGAGACTCTACCAGGAACTGGTGGCTAGCATTTAAAACGTAACTAGTATGATACTCCACAAATAAAAACGTCCTTTTTTGATGTTGTAAAATGTTTGAAAGTTTTCTTCCTGAAGATATTTTGTGCCTTGTAAATATTCATCACAAGTTGTTATTCAAATGATGGAGACATCAGTGTTCCTGTAATAGAGCCCATGTCTTAGGAAAACTGGGTCATTTTAGTGATGAAATGCCATGTAGATGCATAAGTGATAGTAGAAATTCCATTGACTTCTATAAAATGCGCTATAAAACTGACTGATTGCCACTTACCAACAAGAATCTTAGACCTGAAGCAGTTGTTATAAATCACTTAATAAAAGAATTCCAAAATCAGTTGCTCCAGGAGCTAGAAAATGCATGAAGTAGGCTGGTTCAGTACAAGAGGGAATAGGAGAGACTGGGGATTTACATACGTCACCAAATCCTTGAGTCATCATTGTAGCACAAACCCACCCTCCCATTACTGAGATAGAACTGAGGTAAAAGGATGTCAATAGATTTGTTCAAAGTTAAGGGGACCTATGTGTCTTCATGTAATTTTAGAGCCAAATGCAAAATAAAATGCTAGGCCCTGTGTTCAACAATGATTAAGAATTTCGAGATGGTGACACAAAGCATTAAGTCAAGCATGGGTCCCTGTGTGACTGTACAAGCCACATGATGCCCATGAAACTATGCCTGGCTTTAACATTTCATCTAGAATTTATACACCCAAACAGGAAGAAACCCATAGACATTCACAACCACAACCCTGAAGAAATTGATGGTGGAAAAGGGGTGAAAATTAGATCGTTGTCTCTGATAACTACAATAAGTAAACTTTCTTCACTCACAGGAGGGCTTTTATGTGAGCTTTTAGAAACATTGCACTTATATAGTGTAGCTTCTGTCAAGTCATCACGACTTTTTCTGTTTCTATTGTTTCTCCTTGATTTCAGGTTTTATGACTTAATAGTTGCAGACTTTTCAACCCCAAAGCTCAAAACTCTTCTCTGAATTCTAGTTCTGGCTTGGATTCCAAAATATTTGAAAAGTTGCTTATCTCAGGAATGAATGTGCCCATGAAAGTCCGAAGGACGCTCGTGTCTCCCGTTGGATCTCATCTAGCCTTCCAAAGCCTCTTCCCGTTATTCTCCCTCTCACTTAAATATAGCTGCCGTTTCTTTCAAATAGCTTTGTACAGAACTTGAATCAGTTCTCCAAATCACCTTTTATTTTTATCTTGAAATTTGCACATGTCTAATAACCCCTAAACTCAGTTTGTCTTTGAATGGACTGGAGCTGATAAGTCACCTTCTTGTTTTTCTGTGTGACTTATAATCTGATGTACCTCTAACACCATGACTGCAGGTGGGCTATTCAGTGAGACCCAGCCAGTTTATAACAGCACAGTTATTCATACTCGGAAAGTGCAAGAAGCAAAATTGGGAATTGGGTACTAAGTAGACTAAGAGTTTGTCTTATATAAACATATATGCACACACACATGTATCATATATTAATCATAAAATGTTTTCTTTATTTAAAATAAAACTTTAAAAGTTTTCCTCAATTAAAAACTAAGGCCCAGCAGCTAGACCTACAGTTTGGAATGGCGTAAGATTGCCATTTACAGGTATAATTTAATGTTCCAGATTCTGTGCACTTTCCTTTAGGAACATCACAAAGATATTGATAAATAGCTACTGAAGACAAAGAAGGGGTAGGCATTTGGCACAGATGTTGAGAATGTGTGGGTTCACGCCTAGCTCCACTTTTTTTTTTTTAGATTTATTTTATTTGTTTGAAAGAGTGAGTGAGAGAGAGAGAATGAGAAGCTTCCATCCTCTGGTTTACCACAGCCAGGGCTGAGCCAGACCAAATCCAAGAGCTTCTTCCAAGTCTCCCACATGGGTAGCAGGGGCCCAGGCACTTGGGCCGTCTTCTTCCACTGCTTTCCCAAGTACTTTAGCAGGAAGCTGCACTGGAAATAAAGATACCTGGACTCAAACTAGCACCCTTATGCCAAAGGCAGTGGCATAACGAGTGAAGCCACAACGCTGGCTCCCCAGCTGCACGTCCGATTCCAGATTATTGCTAACGTGTACCCTTAGAGCAGCAGTGATAGCTCAAGTACTTGGGTCCCTCCCACTCAGGCAGGAGACCTGGGTTAAGTTACAGGGTCCTGGCTTTGGTCTGGCCAAGCAGGCATTTGGGGAGTCACCAGCAAATGGAAGATCTCCATCTGTCTTTCTATCTCTCTGTCTTCCAAATATATAAATAGTGTACATTATATATAGAATAAATAAAAATGTATGAAAAGATAAAAAATGTCAAATATTAAGGTTTATATTTTTACACAAATATGAGCTATAGATATTTACTCAAAAGCTGAATCAGACAAATAATTCAAGACTATCTTATGTACCTTCATATCCTTTCAAGAATGATTAACAAGAAGAAAATTCCCATGTTGGGGAAATTCCATGTCAGGGAAAGAGAAGATGAGCAAACAGACAAATATAGTAATTAACTGAATAAAAAGTTAATTTATGTAACCCATGCTCTAGGTTCTTAGTTCCTAGACGAGGGCTTGTTTTAGCTACAGGTAGCTCCCGTGTGACAACCTCTTGGTAAGCTGAATCCAAAATTAGGTGCAAAACAATAAATGTGAATATCATAAAAATAACATAAGCCAATAAATTACATTGGTAACTTATATACCAGACCCACACTTAGACTTTCTCTCTGAAAGTGGGGATATATGTTTATGATTACTATAATAGTTAAAAATTATAGAAGTGTTATGAGTGGGTGTGGGGCACTAGGAAAACAGGGAATAAAATATGCAATTGGTAGTAGAATAGAATTGAGTTTGGTGCCCAGCCCTAGGATTTCTAGCTCTGTGTAACTGAGAAAGTCACTTAGTAAGGTTCAGTCTCAATTTCTACACTTGCAAGTGGTTGTGACTCAGGAGAAATAATTATAAGCGTTGAAAAAATCATGAGAGAGGTTAGGTTGTAAATGTAATGATTAATAGTGAAATGCTTACTATTAGCAATGCACATGAGTGTATTTGTTCTGCTAACAATTGCTTGTTAAGTTGAATCTCTGGTTGGCAGGAGCCGTAAAAAAACGAACTTTTTTCTCCTTATCTATTTCAGAATATGCTGTGACATTCATAAACTCAATGTCATATAATTTTTTTAACTTTCTGCAGGTGGAGATTTTCATTTTACCTTTACGTATTTACCTATGGAGTGCGGTTCCTGAAAAAGGTAGGCTCTGTCAAATTACTATATATGATTCACAGGAAATTTGAAGCCTGTATGAAGTTAGTTCAAAAAATTCATGTAAAATAGAATGAAAAGATAAGTTTATTTGGGTTCAAAAAATTTTTGAAACTTATGCATAGTTTTCTTATACATTTTCCCTGAACTTTTCTGAAGACTTCTCATTTCTCATGTTTTTATGTGTGACTACAGAAATACTTTAAACAATCTAACAGGTTTTCTAGAAACTATTTGTGTGTTATTGTTTGACCTATAAAATATTTTTCAGTTGATTCTATATAGTAGATCATTACACTGTTTCTAATGAAAGATGTTGCTAAGCCCGGTCTCCACTCTAGCTGGTTTTCAGAACCTAAGGAAATCCATCTGATGCTTTGAAAAAAGTTTTGTCAACATAAAACTTGAAAACATCAGTTGTTGCAATGTATGTTATTACTACAACTTTCACCAGTAAAACTTACCTTACCGAGTTACTGACAGACCTAAACCAGTAGCTGGTGGAAAACTTAGTTCTTTTATGGACTGTGTTTTCTCTGCTATTTTTCTTTGTTATCTCCCACATGAACTAGGGTAACAGAATCTATTTTTTTAAAGAATTATTCATTTATTTGCAAGTCAGATCTACAGAGAGAGAGAGAGAAAAGTCTTCCATCCAATGGTTCACTCCCCAATTGTCTGCAATGGCCGGAACTGCACTGATCCAAAGCCAGGAGCCAGGAGCTTCCTCAGGGTCTCCCACATGAATGCAGGGGCCCAAGCACTTGGGTCATCTTCCACCACTTTCCCAGCCCACAGCAGAGAGCTAGATCAGAAGAAGAGCAGCTGGGACCAGAACTGGCGCCCATATGGGATGCCGGCACCTCAGGCCAGAACGTTAACCACTGTGCCCAGTAACAGAATCTATTAAAGTCACTCTTTATGACTGCCATAGTCCTTTTTCTGGCTATTTCAATGATTATAGGTTTTATAGGTTGAGCATCCCTCATCCAAAAACCCAAAATGCTCCAAAATCCAAAACCTTTTTGAGCCAATTATCAGTGCTCATCTGGCAGAGTCTATGCAAGTATTTAAGAATCTGAAAACCCCTGAAATCTGGGAACACTCCTGGCCCAAGCATCTCAGATAAGGGATATTCAACCTCCTATTAACGATTTGGGCTGCTTAAATTTGGCTCACGAAGACTTATCTCATAGTTGTTACACACATTAAACCATAGTGATTTGGCTTAAAGTAGGAAATTTTTTTTTTTTTTTTGACAGGCAGAGTGGACAGTGAGAGAGAGAGACAGAGAGAAAGGTCTTCCTTTTGCCATTGGTTCACCCTCCAATGGCCGCCGCGGTCGGCGCGCTGCGGCCGGCGCACCGCGCTGATCCGATGGCAGGAGCCAGGAGCCAGGTGCTTTTCCTGGTCTCCCATGGGGTGCAGGGCCCAAGCACCTGGGCCATCCTCCACTGCACTCCCTGGCCACAGCAGAGGGCTGGCCTGGAAGAGGGGCAACCGGGACAGAATCCGGCGCCCCGACCGGGACTAGAACCCGGTGTGCCGGCGCCGCAAGGCGGAGGATTAGCCTAGTGAGCCGCGGCGCCGGCCTAGGAAATTATTTTTTAAATACCTTTTGTGTTAACCTCCAGAACAGTTATTTATTTTTTTTAAAGATTTATTCATTTATTTGAAAGTCAGAGTTACACAGAGAGAGGAGAGGCAGAGAGAGAGAGAGAGAGAGAGGTCCTCCATCTGATGGTTCACTCCCCAACTGGCCGCAAAGGCCAGAGCTTCGCCGATCCGAAGCCAGAAGCCAGGAGCTTCTTTCAGGTCTCCCACATGGGTGCAGGGGCCCAAGCACTTGGGCCATCTTTTCTGCTTTCCTAGGCCATTGGAAGTGGAGTAGCTGGATCTTGAACCAGCACCCATATGGGGTGCTGGCGCTTCAGGCCAGGGTGTTAACCCACTGAGCCACAGCGCAGGCCCCTAGAACAGTTATTTCTTAGAAATGTATTTTGAAAATAGACTATTGCCGAATGGCATGCCTGACTGTAAATGTTCTTGTAAACATGGACATGAACAGTTCTAATACATATCTTGTTTGGAAGGTGGGGAAGGTGGACCGTGAGAGCCAGGAGCTCCTTCGTGCCCTTTCCCCCAGGCCTGCTGGATATGGTCTCCTTTAGTTCTCATATGCAGGCAGAAGTGTAGCTGTCTGTCATTAGACGGAAACGCCTGCCACTTCACTGTGGTTTGCTCTATCCCTGAGCAAACAGAATAGAAAGAGAATAGTTTTATGCACCAGTCCTTGATGGGTTGATAGAAAGCTGTAAAAGGGCTGGTCAATGGGGTGCTTGCTTAGAAACTGATTTTCCTCAAAGTATATCCGTTTTCTTTCACCTGCCTCTGGTTACAACAAATGCTTAAAGGGGGGGGGGGGGAGCAAAAGTTGATAGCTAGAGTTTGTTCTTCCTATTGATTAGCTTGCATTGGGGCTTGCTTTCTTTAATGACATCTAAATGGCACTTAGTTTTGGAAGAGCTGCATAGCTCAGTCTTAGTCACAATGGAACGTGGAAATGGTCCTGATACAGATAAGCCGTCTTCTGCGGCCATTTCATTTGACAGCGAGGAAGAGCTATCCAAGGAGGATAGGTAGCATTCTGAAAGTCACACCATGAGTTCATTGAAGACTGAAGCATGCTGGTGCTGCGGCTCACTAGGCTAATCCTTCGCCTGCAGCACTGGCACCCCGGGTTCTAGTCCCAGTCAGGGCGCCGGATTCTGTCCCGGTTGCCCCTCTTCCAGTCCAGCTCTCTGCTGTGGCCCGGGAGGGCAGTGGAGGATGGCCCAAGTACTTGGGCCCTGCACCCCATGGGAGACCAGGAGGAAGCACCTGGCTCCTGGCTTCGAATCAGCGCAGCGTGCAGACCGTAATGCACCAGCTGTAACTGCCACTTTGGGGGTGAACCAACAGAAGGAAGACCTTTCTCTCTGTCTCTCTCTCTCTCACTAACTCTACCTGTCAAAAAAAAAAAAAAAAAAAGACTGAAGCACAAAGTAAACATATTGCAGTCTTTTATTCAAGTCTTTTCTCTGCTTCACCAGGCTTCCCTGACCTCCCACTATGACTTTCAATGGCTTCTTTCTTTGGATAACTTAGCAAACTTGACCTACAAAGTAATTATTGCATTTATAGAATTTTAAGTACTTTAGTAAATATTTTTTAAAATGTTGTGGCCATTTGTGGAATGAACCAGCAGATGGAAGATCGCTCTATCTCTGTCTCTCTCCCCCTCTCTCTCCATCTTCTCTCCCCCTCTCTCTCCATCTTCTCTCCCCACCCCCGGTTACTCTGCCTTACAAATAAATAAGTAGCTTTTTAAAATATTTATTGATTTACTTGAAAGGCAGAGTTAGAGAGAGAGATCTTCTATCTGGTTCACTGCCCAAATGACCACAACGGTTGGGGTTGGACCAGGCCAAAACCAGGAACCAGGAACTTCATCCAGGTCTTCCACATGAGTGCAGGAGCCCAAACACTTGGGCCATCTTGTACTGTTTTCCCAGGCCACTAGCAGGAAGTGGGACAGAAATGGAGCAGCCAGGAATCGAATACTGATTTGATGTGGGATGCCAGCATTGCAAGCAACAGCTTCACCTGTTACGCCACAACACCGGCCCCAATAAATAAATCTTAAAAATATTTTCATCATCTTTCTTGGAGTTGACAGTCCTTGTATGTCTGTCTATCTAAACCAAGAGAAAAAATTATTATGGGTATAGCATCTGAAATAACAAAAACAAGGAAATTAAAATTTTCAGAGTGCCCTACATGTTTTGAAATAAGATACACACATTTCCATTAGTATATAATAAATTTGTCTTTGTGTTCAGATTTTTCCAGAAAGTATAGTAGGAAAATTCTCAATAGCAGAGTAATGGACCAGTTAAGGGAGAGGCTACAGTTGACCTTTACTGCCAATATATAAAAACTGTGTACTTAATATTAAGGGTAAGCATTTAGCCTAGCAGTTAAGATACTAGTTAATGTGCCCATTTCCTGGGGCCAGCATTGGTCCTGGCTCTGGGCTTCTCATCCAGCTCCCTGCTGATGCACCTGGAAGGCAGCAGAAAATAGTTCAAGTACTTGGGCTCTTGCCATCCATGAGAGAGACCAGGATGGAGTTTCTTAGTCCTGGCTTCAGCCTGGTCCAGCCTTGGTCATTATGGCCATTTGGGGAGGGAAACAGTGGATGGAAGATCTTTCTCTCTGTCTGTCCTTCTCTCTCTTTGTCACTCTGCCTTTCAAATAAATTAATTAATTTTAAAAAAGAAAAAAAAAAAGTGCCATGTCCTACATCATAGTACCTGGATTCAGTACCTGGATCCCACTTCTAACTCCAGCTTCCTGCTAATGCAGACCCGGGGAGGCAGCAGTGATGGCTCAGCTGGGCCCCTTCCACCTGAGTAGGCGACCTGAGTTGATTTCCTGGCTACTGGCTTGAGCCTGGCCCAGCCCCTGCCATCATGGACTTTTAGGAGTGAGCCAGTGTTTGGGAGTGTGTGCTGTCTTTCTGTCTGCTTCTCTAGTTTAAATAGATAGATAGATAAACTTTTTTTTTTTTAATGCGGATTAGTACATGGGCTGTTAGGAGTATGCCTGGACAACTTGCGTTCTGCTGCCTGTAGGTCAGGTGAACCTGATATAGCTCATCTTCTAGGATGGATTAAATAAGTGTCCTTCTTACCTAAAAGCATAGGGAGGTGGACACTATTAGGCATTGCTCTTATGGACATGTTAGAGAACTATTAAGTAAAGTTATTGCCAGCTTTAAGTAGTTATAGAAGGTAAGCCTGACCAAGAGTCTGTTTCAGTGACAGCTGTGTACCTGTACCAGTGACTTTGCCCATAAATATGATTGGCAGAGATAGGTACCTTTGTGAAAGATGACCCGGGATCTCTTAAGGTATGCCAGAGGCCTAGCATATGATGTACGCATA